GCCATATTCTTTCTAGAAAAAGTCAGTGAGCTCCAACTTTGCTGGAGGTACCCAAAGCAGCAGCCAGGCTCATTAAAATGTTCTCTCTTCCCCTGTTCACCACAGATACATGAGGATTCAGCAAACAGTGGGAAAGCAGAGGACACAAGTTTGGATGTGAAATAGTAACACCTTCTGCAGTGAAGAATAATTAAACAATATTTTAATTGCACAAGATCGAGCATGTTGTTGGACCTTCCCAAACAGTAACACTTTATGCTGGTCTACACATGTCTATACATTCAAAACATTGTTTAGTTTTGAAACATTCTGAGAAATAACCTCAATTGTCAATTTTCCTCTACCCAAATAAAGGCAGAGTTTATGACCCTCCATTTCAGCTGGTGGAAGGAGGGCTGGGAAAACTTTTGAAAAGGCAGCCATATTTGTACTTTTTCCCCCCGGTTCAGAGATAAGCCATGTGCTGGGCTTTGTGGAACCTCACAAAATGGAAGCCCCTGGACTGACTTCTCTAGTAACAGTTGAGACCCACACCTTCTTTTGTGTGTTTCTGGTCTATGCAGAGAACCTAAATCACTTAGGACCCTGGGTTTTTTCATCCAGTGTTAACATTGGAGGGTCCTATTTTTCTGTAAATGATTTACAGACCTCTCTAAGCAGACTCTCTAAGCAGTCCAGGGCACCAAAGTGTCGACTGTTTCCAAAGGATTCTCTGAAGGCTTATGCAAATTTCTGCAGCAAAAATGTTGGTTCGATATGCTGCATCCCTCAGCTGTTTACAGATCTGAGCCAATTAGAAGGGCATCTTCTGCACTCGTCACTGGGAGTTGTCTGCATGAAACAGATGGGGGTTTCTAACCACTTTAAGAAAGATGGTGGTGAGTGTGTGTGATTTGTAATTCCACAGACTCTGTTTGAAGACAAATCTGTGTTTTCCCCAACTACAAAAGGAAGCATGTATACCTACACTAATTACCAACAATTTCTACACGAGTAATCTATGTATATGTACAACAAATATATACCCAAAATACCAAATGTGTAAATGTACAAATACTCTCAAGTGTACTAAGTTTTGCAAGTCTTTTCGTGTACATGAGCTATGAATTTACCATAGGTTAGGGGTCCAACAGGGCCAGAAAGTACAACACTTTCAGAGTAGCACAAAATGGAGAGGAAACCCTTCCTTAACTGATTTCCACATCAGTCCGCCACCATATAGTCTTGCCCAAATCAATGGCTCTAAAAATGATTTTCAGGGAGAATTCTTGTGTAGAAGACAGTGAATTTTGCTAATAGAGGAATCCTTAAATGGAGGGTAGCTGGAGTCTAGCCAGCACCAGTCTCTAGCCAGCCTATTCCCACCCTCTCCACAGCCAGACTGTTTCCTAGCCATGCTTTCAAGCACTTGGCACACTTGCTCTAACCCAGTCAACAGCAGTCTCAGGCAACATACAGAGCAAAACGTTTCCAAATCCAGCAGGCACGTTTGCAGCTGTCTCCCCTTGTGCAAATGTTTCTTAAGCCCCGGGCCACCCTTCACTTAAAATTGTCTTTCCTGGCTCAGGTCAGCGAATGCCACAGCCATAGCCTCTTCCCTGGATAGGAAGCCAGGTGGTGCTTCACCTCTGGCCTAACCTGTGCCAACGTTTCCCTGGTCCTCGAAGCAGCAGGCAAACAGCCCACCATCACCTGAACAAGTGATACAGGCCCCAAAGTATAGGATTCCATTTTCGTACCTGTGCAATAAAAGCCACTCTGGAAATTAAAATGTACCTTTTTAAAAACATACAGGCATCTAGAAAAAGAAGAGAATTCTTCAAAGTCTACCTGATAAAGGGGCTTTCCCTTTTGTGGGGAGAAATGTTAGTTTACTTGAATTTCTCCTCTTCCCTCCTGCCCCTTTCCCCTCCTCTTCCCTCATAAAATGGCAGCTGCAGGAGTAGCCTCAAATGGAAAATGGATATCTTGTTAATAACAGATCCCAAACCCCAGCATCAGCGCTGGCTCAATGGAATAAGCTGTGGTATAATCTGGACTCTAGGTTGTTACCCACTGGGCCTACAACTCCAGTCCTTTGCGAAGTTCAAAGCTCTCCCAATATCTTATCAAGGTTGTTTAGAGCAAGATGAAGCTAGAATAGCCTAGCTGGCCTTCTCTGAAATGAAAGAAAGTCCCCCCTCCCGCAGTTATTTATTTTTATAGCAAGGGTGCAGGTAACCCCCCTCCCACCTTTTAAAAATCAAACAGATGCTTTAGCAGGATGCTGCCTTCACAGGAGCCCTGGAGATTGTTCCTGACTCAGGAAAAGGGTTATTGGCGGCGCTCAAAGACACTAGCTCTAGAAAAAGGATTCATTTCTTTTATTAAGGAGCTAGCTATATTCTGCAGCGGTTGTTTACACTCGGATTTTTCTGCGTTTGCTCTCAAGGCTTGTTTCAAATAGGTGAGACCAACCTGGAGAACAGCAGAGGACGTACCAACCGACATCTGAGATACACACAACAAGTTGGCTCACAATGGGCGTGCAAACAGAGAGAAGAGAATACAAATAAATATGGCACCTCCTCAGGAAAACACACACACACACACACACACAAACCGGAATCACAGCGGCGGCCACAGCACAGAGACCTAGCAGTTTCAGGCGATTCCAAGCACAGTTGAAAACGAAAGCAAATTCAGAAAGGAGAGGCGTTCCACAAGGTGACTTGCCAGACTAAAAATATCTAAGTGAAAATGTTATAATTGACTTTTCAAGTATTCATTCACTCTAGATGATTAAACTGCCATAATCTGTATAAACTATAGAAAAATTATTAAATGTCAACTTTGACATTGTCCTGAAACTTTTGTCACTAGCCGAACATTTTCCCCAAGTTTAAGGAAGCTGCAGAGCCAGGACTATACATTACACTCCTCAGCTAACATGTGCTTTTCTCAATATTTGGCCCAGACTTTTTCCCAGAGATATTACATTTACAAAATTCTCAAAGAAACCTTTTAGGAGTAAACAAAAGGCACCCGAACCATTCATTATAAAAGCAGAAAAAAATATAAATAACACATTTTAATCACATAATATAAAGTAAATATTCTGCGGGCATAATTTCTTTTAAAATTAATAAACTTCTTTTAATTTACTCACCATAAAGAAAAGATTTAAAACGTTCAAGTGCACTTGTTTGATTAATAAATCATTTTATATTCAATTATTTAGTGCTAATCATTAGGAAGTTTACGTTGTCGAGGCAAAATCACCAGCTCAGACATTAAAAACTACCATTATAAAAATATAGCTACAAGGTCAGTATCAAATTACTCTTACATAGGACAGCTCAAGGGCTGTTTCTATGCGACACTAGAAACATTTTTTTTAAAACACCCAAATCCCTCTCAAAGCGCAGAAACCTCAAGAGCAGTGACATGAAGGTAGCTTGAAACACAGGTAAAGTCCTTTCCAAAAAAGAAAACAGGTGGTGTCCACCAGCATATGCTGATCATTAGTTTTAATAGTCTGCGGTAAAATTTTAAAGGTAGAAGTTAATTTGTCGGGCCTTCGGCTCGGTCTTCCTCCAGCTCTTGGGCTTCCTTTTTTGTTTCCCCATCCTTCGCCTCCTGTCTGGAAACCGGGAATTTGTCCTTGTTGTTCTCCTTTTTCCATTTCATTCTCCTGTTCTGGAACCAGATTTTTACCTGTCTCTCAGTGAGGGCTAAAGCGTGGGAAACCTCGATTCTTCTCTTCCTGGTCAGATAAGGGTTAAAAAGGAATTCCTTTTCCAACTCTAAGGTTTGGAAACGACTGTAGGTTTGTCTTCCCCTTCGTCTACCAGGAGCTGCTGATTAAAACAAAGAGAAAAAAAAAGAGGAAAATAAACATTAAAAATGTAATGGTGCGTCTGCAGGTTGCTGGAGGTTTCTGAAACAGGTCTAAGGGGTGAAATATACACAACTCTCCTTAGGTCTGATATAATATATAGCATGGGCAGGCAAGAGGGGCAGCGAGTACGTCCTAGCAATTATTATGACCCCCATCATCTTTTCATGGTTTCTACTTTAAAGAAAAAAAAAAAAGTCTGTATTACTTCATGAATAAGAGTCACTGTAAGCTACACCAGAAGAAAAAGGAGAGGGAAAGAAAAGGGGAGTTTTAAAGCAATTACGTGAGATGAAAGCAGATTTCTCCCCCTCTCCCCGCTTAAAAAAAAAAAAAATTGCATCCCAACCTTGTGGTCTCATCCAGGGAAACATTTGAGAAGGAGACGAGCTCTGATTTAAGTGGTCTGGGTCCTCGCCAATATTACCACTGGACGATTTACAGTCAGGATATTGTACCAGCTCGGCCTCTTGCTGGGTCGTAAAAATCGGCTGTCTCTGTAAGTTATCGTATCCGTAAAACTTCGCGGGCTCCCCGTGACAGGCAATCCCACCGCAGGGGGGAGGCGGCGGCGGAGGAGGTGGGGCGGCCTGGTAGGCTGCGGCTGGGCTGCCCCCGCCGGGGTGGAAGTAGTCCTGGCCGGGGCCCGGGCCGCCCCCACTACTGCAGCCCGGCCCGGCGGGCGGCGGCGACGGGTGCGGGTGCGGGTGCGCGTGCGGGAAGCCGGCGGCGCTGTTGCCATAGAGCTGCAAGGCGGCGGCAGCGGCGTGGCGGCCGCCGACCTCGGGCGCGAAGTGACAGTCGTAGTAAGTGGGATTGATGGCCTCGCCTGCCGCGGCCGCCGCCGCGGCCGCCGCCTTGTACTTGGAGTACAACGGGTTCACGAAGTACGAACTCATCGAGGCGGCGGCGGCCAGCGGCCGGGGGCCAAGGTAGGGCGGCCCCGGGCGGGCGGGCGGCGCGGAGCAGGCAGGGAGCGCGCCTCAGCACGACCGCACTGCCGCGGGGGCCTCTGGGGCGGCTGCTCGCGCCACTGGGGCCGCCGGGCTACGTTGCTGCTGCCACCCACCCGCCCGCCGCTTCTGAGACCCCGCAACCGCGGGCACTCCACTACTGGGCGCTCATGCTCCTCTCCCGCGCCCGCCGCCTCGACCTCGCGCCGCCTCCCTCGCAGGTCGCAGGGCCTCACCCAGCCCCCGCGTTCCACTGCCCGCCCGGCCTCTCCCGGCGCGCGCCGGCTTGGCCGCAATAAACTCGCCAACACCCCGGGTGACCTGCCCCGCTGCCTCCACTCTTTCCTCTCAGGCACCAGGCGGCCCTGAGCGCACCGGGACAACAACAAAAAAAGTGCGCCCGGCCCACGGAGACACTCTTTGGCTTCGGTTTACAAACCCCCGCTCTGGAGGGAAAAGGAAAAAAAAACCCTCTGCCCGCCGCCACCTCTCACCTCGCCCCCCCCGCAGCCCCCTCCCACCGCTCTCGCCGCCGCTGCCGAGGCTGCCGCCCCGGTGCGCCCCGGCGAGGCATTTTCGCACCACGCCACTGCCGAGAGAGGGAGCGAGATGGACGCGAGATAACCGCGCGGAGGGATCCGCGCGGAGGCGACACTCTGCACCCGACGGGACGCCTCACGCTGGCGCGAAGATGCCTCCGCCAGCCTTAAAGGGGGCCCATAAAACCGCACTGCCAAGGGCTAGCCGTGCCCCCGGGCCCGGGGAATGCGGGCCACGGCCGGCAGGGCGGGGGCACCGCGGAGCCTTACACTTGGGGGTGGGGGCGCGGGGAGGCAGGGAGGCCACTCCCAGGAGACTGTGGAGCAAATCACTCCTTCCCCGGCCCCTGGAGCAAGCCCTCAGAGGTTGGCCGTGGCTTTTGCGCCTCTGGACACGCGGGCGCAGCCCAGGGAACGAGGACAAGCCGTGTAGACGTTTCGGCTGAATATTTGAGTTAGGTCTTATCCAAGTGGCTTGATTAAAGGCCACAAAGGTGACCTCAATACCGAAAGTGCATTATCAAAGCGAATCTAAGTAAGCCCTTCTTTTCCAGCCGAGCGGGCCTTGTGGAAATGAGATGTACATTTACCCTTGACGCACTGCACGCCTGGCTGAGGCTCCCAGGTTAATTGATATTTAATGGAAATCATGCCCATGAATATAGTTTCCATCATTTCACCCTTGATAGACGTCAGTACCAGGCGCAGGGGGCAGCCTGAAGAATGTGGGGAGGGGGAACATTAGCATTGCTGAGGGAGTAAATAGAAAAGCAGACAGAAATGTTCCAAGCCGCGAAGGAGGACTTACGCTGGAGAGGCTGGTATTTTCTCCGGCAGGACGCGCGGCTCCGGGTCTCAGCCCCTGCGTGGAGAGGACCTGGGCAGGCGATGGCCCCGGGCGGAGGTCGGGGAACCGACACCCGGGACCCCTAAGGAGCCTCCGGGCCGGCGTTCGGAACATGCCAGTTCCAAGCAGCTGCAGGCGGCGCCCATCTTCTAACGATTCTAGTTCATGCAACAAGCCTAGGAAGTTAGTGCCGAGAACAGGCGCTGTGTTCAACTTAAAAAGTTACTAGTTTTTCCAAAGGTAAAGAAAGAGAAAATGCATTCTATGAAGGACGAGGAAGAGAAACGTCCTGTATCATCTGGGCAAATCGAGTGTGAATCGGAAAAACACTCCTGATTTTAGAAACTGGCTCTGAAGCCTGTTGGCGTTACACCACCAATTTGCCTTCTCTCTCCCCTTCTTCTTCCCCTCACCTCTGCTCTTGTGTTGATGATGTTCAATGTCTAATAAATGTAATAGGTCTCTGCTGAGTGGGTTTTCCTTTGCCTACTCTGCCTTTTTAGTGGGTCTTTAGGTGACCCTTCTTCTTGGGATAATCCATTGTTGTAGAGGGCGCCAGGCCCACGGGAGCCGACCTCAGAAACACTCTCTCAGCCCACCGAGGACGCCCCCGTTAAAACTTAAACACACCTTGCTGGCTTTTCACGCCAAATGAGAATGTCTAAAAACTTCCAGACAGCTCCCAAAGGCGTAGCAGGCGACTGATTTCAACTACCTCTTGCCCCTTGAGGGTTGGCCCAGCTCGTGGGTGAGATCCTGAGGTTAGTCCGGGTGGACAGAATATTATCTTGCAAATGGAGAAAATAAGGTAGAGACGGAAAGGCATAACAAGATAATGTTTAAGACTCTGTAAATTGTTTCTACAGGGAATAGCTGAAAATAGTGAAGGTAAACGGATTACTAATCAATCTGCAGATTATAAAGGCATGTCTTATTTTTAAATTAGTAGGGAGTGCAAGGAGGCTTCTGCTGTGTGAGTGGTGATGGGTCCGTTTTTTGTTGTTGTTGTTGTTATTGTTGTTTTCTGCCAGTTATCACCAGGTTAAAACCTTCCTTTAAATCCGTAGGCCAACGAACTGATTCGGACGGTTAACGATTTGTACTCCAATCTTGCAAATACCCAATTAAAAGAGTAATTATTTTCAATAAAGCCTTGAAACTTTGTAATTGCGCCTTTTAATTTCACTGTTTGGCGTGTGTGGGGTGTGTGTGTGTGTGCGCGCGCGCGCGTGTTTAAACCCTCAATAGTGGGTTTTGGAATGGAATGGGGGAAAAGAAGAGCGAGTCCAGATCTCAATAATGCAAAGCACCTTCCAGAACTTTGTGATTCCTGAGGGGGCGAAAAAGAAACACAAACACTACAAATTCATTTCTACACATTCTGGCCTAGTTACGAAAACATTGTAAGACAACATTTCCTCTTGGGACAAAACAGTTTTATTTTTTTCCTTCAAGCATTCCGTTTATAATCTGAATGGGAGCAGGGTGCGATTAACTTGGTAAACATGTATGCTTTTACACTTCTCTGTTTTGATACAGTGCATTAACGTTACGTTCTCAACCGTGCCCAAGTTTTCTGAAATCCTGACTAAGTCAAAATTTTATACATAATAAGCACTTCTGGAGAATGTAATAGTGCACATTGATTCTTTTTGGCTAAATTTATCCTGATTTGGAATCTAACATAGGATTGTATCTTTAATCAAGCCCTTCTTCCGCCGCAAACGCCAGCTTTACGATCACAAAATGGAGCAACGGCGCTCTCTAGTGGCCGAATGCCACCTCTAGCCGAGTGAGCTTAACTTCTCTTATTCAACTCAAACCAATTCCAATCTTGCTCTTTAGTTTGACTGGAGCTTGGATCGCTGACACTAATAATGCTTTCATCTCTTTGACTGTCGACAAGTCAAGTGCAGAAAACAGGGGCTCCTGAATGCCAAAGATATTTCTGCTCCCGAGAGCTTCCAGTAGTGTCTTTTTCAAAAGCTTCCAGCCCTTCTTTTGCCAGACACAGTAAGTCCCCATTCTGTGATCGCCCACAATTACAGAATGGGCTAGATTCAACGAGATCACAACTTTCTAAACATCAACTGCTATAGGCCTTTTTTTTTTTTTTTTTTTTACAGTGGAGCCAGGGACTTAGAAAGCTAAGAAACTACAGAAGTTAAATTCGTTCATTTTTTTCTTTTAAAGCTGTTACATGTAGCATTAAATCCTGAAATTTTGCTACTTTGTAATTTTAATGCTTCAGGCCCATTTCACTGGACAATTGGGGTGGGGATAGAAGGCAAATTAAAAACTTTTTTATCTCTGAATGCCTGTCTGGAAAGGCCCCGTTGGGCTGTGTTCATTGGAACTTCTAAGCACAATAAATGAGATATTAAATTTATATCAAAGCCACAGAGTGAAATGAATTGGCTAAGCATTCCACTTGTTTTTATTTAAAGGGAAGACTTTAATCAGTTTAGGTGTTTCCTAAGAGGTTAATCTTTTTTCTCATTTTCAAAAATGCTTTCCTCCAATTCAGCTGTAACGATTAATTTTTCTATAAGCAAACAAATAATTTCCAACAATATTTTTGCTCCCTGTTTGGAGTGGAGGGTTAGATATTTTTGTGAGAGGTCATTTAAGTGGCAACTTCATCTCTTTCCGCGGACCATGCATCTGGGAGATGCTCGGCCTAAGTAAATGACCCAAGAGCACTAACTCTCCCACCCCCAAGTAACAGACGTATTTTCCTTTTTTAAAAAGGAGCTAGACGGCAGCCATAGTTAAATATTATTGAGAGCCACCCACTGGCTACTTCTATACCCAGCTTATTTTAAAAATCAGAACTATATTGTCTCCTTCCTACTCCCCCTATTTTTATTTCCTAGGTGCTCACACCTCATCCGGGGCTCCCCAGGCCCCGTCTTCTTAGTCCAACTGAGTCCTGTTTACATTTTATTGTCCAGATTTTAAGACCCAGTTTTGTCTGCATTTTTCCCTTCCTCCCACAAACACAAACATCAAAATGAGATGCTTTCAAAGCGAAGCGCCGGGCCTGCTGTAAACTCATTACCTCCAGACGTCTCGCCGACTCGATGGCTTTATGACACCTTGGCTCTTCCTGTTTTCAAAGAGCCCAAGGCATCGGGCTGGCCGCAGGGGCGGGGGGTACGCAGCACCTTCGGCCGGATCTGGGCCTTGGGTTTCCCTCCCTGCCCCCCTCTGCTTTTCCTGCAAGTCCCCTCTTTCATCCGGATCCCCCCAAAACTCTGCCATCGCCCCCGCCTTCCGCCCAGCCCAGGCCGCCCGGCGCCGCCGCCTCTCGGGCCTGCGAAGGCCGTGTTGGGCCCAAATCCTCACTTACAATGACCTTCATTTTAGCCTCTGAATGCGGCCCTCAGAGGGCCGAGCTGGGGGCTAAACACACAGAAACTGCGTGGGGGAGGGGCGGGGTGGGGATAGCTGCGGAGGAGAGCCTTGACCATTTTGATCTTCTAAGGTCACTTCGGGGCTCCTGTGGGGAGGGGCGGAAGCTCACAGCCTAACCGGCTCAGCCCTCCCGGAGCCAGCCAGCCCCGCGGAACTGGAGGAGTTGCCCCAGGGTGCTGAGTTGGCCTTTCCCTGTTTGGGTGGGGGGGAAGCGGGGGTGTTGATGGCTACGACTCCGTGAGCAGAGGGAGACATGGGGTACGGTTTGTCAAAGCCCCAGCGAGACGGTCCCTTGTTTACTGGGGTCCATGGGCTCTGCCGGTTCTGCTGCAATGCTGACACTGGGTCCAGGGTACAGAGTTCGCCGAGGCATTGGAAGCAGGCTGGGACAGGACCGCCCAGGGCTCCCCTGGGGGGGGGGGGTGCTCTATGCTGCAGTCTGCCCAACCTAAGCGAGACTCAGAGGCACATCAGAGACCTCTCAGGTGGAAGGGCCATGGATTTTTAGCAAAGTATCCTTCCCAGAGATGGGGAAGACGTCCCATGAGGGTGATATTTTGCAAAGAGGCAGAGAAAGCAAGCACACAGTGTTCAGGGCCAGCGTCTGGGCTCCATTTGATCAGGTCAGCATTTATTGGTAGGAAGCGGTAGCATTTACAACTGGTCCTCAGGCAGGAACCGGGAGGGCCCACACCCACGGCCGCCCACGCGAGCCAAACCCTCCCAGGGAGAGTGCGGTTCCTCCAGTGCACTGAGAAGAAACCCCTGACCCACCGGAGGCCCTGGGCTCCTCTCTCGGCCTTCCAGATCTCAGTGGAGGGCCCGCGGCCTTCTTGAGGAAAAGGGGCTTTTCATAACCGGTGGGCAACACGGCCGGGGCTCGGCCCCAGCGGGCCTCCGCACTGTCGTCGCTCTGCCTTCGCTCTTGGAAACTGGGTGCGCTTGGCCCCTGCTTGAGCAGCGCTAAGCAGCGCTCGGGGCTAAACTACAGCACTTTTCAGAAATATAGGAGACATTTACACAGGAGAGGGCTCCTCAAACCAGCGTGCACTCACAAAATATGCCATTTCCTAAGGAATCAACGGAACAGGAAAAGAGGGGAGCAGGATAGGGCAAAACCCCAAAGCCACTTGGTTTCTCCAACACATAATCGAGCAAATACAGACTCCCCCAAATTACCTCACAGAAACCAACCACACAGTCACTTCTACCTAAAATGGGGTGGGGGAAATGTCCGAATGGCTGGAGAAGTTCTGGAAATCAAGCACCCACAAAGAAAAAATCCCCCACTGCCATTGCAAAGCAGAGCGGTCCTGCCGGCGCCGTGCCGGGTCAGTCTCCCTTGGGGCATTTCTCCTTGCTCATCTTTTTCATTTTCATCCTACGATTCTGGAACCAGATTTTGACCTGTCTCTCTGTGAGGTTCAGAATCCTTGCCACCTCATAGCGCCGGTCCCGAGTGAGGTACATGTTGAAGAGGAATTCCTTCTCCAGCTCAAGCGTCTGGTATTTGGTGTAGGGACAGCGCTTTTTCCGGGTGGAGCGAGCGTGGATCCAGTTTGCTGCGGGGTTGTCTATGAAGAGGGGGGTTTGAAGAAGGGGAGCGAGGGGCGGAGGGGAGGCAGCGAGAGACAACGGGGTGGGGGAGAGAAGAGGTCGTTAAATTAATTTCACCAAGGATGGCCGCTTTTCACAACTTGGGGGGGAATTATCATAAAAAGCCTTAAAGCCCGCGCTCTGTTTACCGTACAAACCGCGTGCCCAGGGTAGGTGGTTATGGGACGCTTTTTTTATGGATGCGTGTAGCTCGCCCAGGCTAGGGTAGGCGTCTAGACGTTTTTATAGGTTAGTAAAACTATCAGTTTTGCACATTCGAGCCTTACAGGTTTCAGCAATAAATCAGGGGGCAATTTCTTTTGCACTTACTTGGGTCAAGTTGCTGCTGCGGCGCCTGCGAATGCTGCTTCTCTTCCTCCTTCAGCGGACAGCCCGGGCTCGGGTGGTCGCTGCAAGCCGAGGGCTCCGATGAGCCGCCTGCCCCGGACCCGGATCCGATCCCCGCCCCGGGCCCGGCTCCCCCAGCCGCCGCCGCTGCCACCTTGTCCCGTAGGAACGAGTTGCACGAGAACTCGGGGCTGCCGCTCCCCTGGGACTCTCGGGCCGCGGAGCACTCAGTCCTTTTGGAGGAGGAAGACGAGGAAGTGGAGGAGGTGGAGGTGGCGGCGGCGGCGGCGGCGGTGGCGGCGGTCGGTGCCGCTCCGCTTTCAGGCTTAATCCCGTAGTGGCGCCCGTTGGGTGGGCCGCTGGGGCCGGGGCTGGGACCGGGGCCCAGGCCGCCGCCGCCGCCGCCGCTACCGCCGCCGCCGCCACCTCCGCCCGCACCGCCCGGGAAGCCGGGCAGCGGCTCCATCCAGGAGCGCATGTAGCGGCCGGGCTCGGAGGCGGAAGCGGCCAGGGGCGGCGGGGGCACGTATGGGTGGTAAAGGCCGCTCATCGCCGCCGCCGCCGGGGGCTGGGCGGGCACCGCGGACCACGAGGCGGAGAACACGGCCGATTTGGGGGCAAAACTACACGAGGCGAACTCGGCGGCGGCGGCGGCCGGGCTGTCGGCCACACCTGCGGGCCTGCCCTGCGCGCCAGGCCCTGGAGGTCCGAAGCGCCCGGCGAACACCTCGTCGCCCTCATGGCCTATGAGCGAGTCCACGTAGTAGTTGCTGAGGGTGCCACTGGAGGACATTTTGAGGCGCCCCGCGCTCCCACCCAAGGTTACACTGCCCGCCGCGGCGCCGCTCCCCGCCGGCGCCCGAGCCGCCGACTAGTTCGCAGGCTGCAGCCTCCACCATTGGTCGCGCGGCCCACGTGATCATATTTACCAATACCAGGAGTAAATCAGTCCGCTAAACTGGGGGCTGCTGTGATTTAAAAAAAAAAAAATCATCATCAACATAAGAGCAGCAATTAGAGCCCACGGGTCCCGGCCGGTGCGCCGAGCTCGGCCTGGCCTGACTCGGCCATCCCGGTGGCGACGGGGACCACGCGCCCCGACCGCGGCCGCAGGAGGCGCTGGGGACTATTTGTTCGCCTCTTCTTGCTGCCCTCGGTCTTGCAGTCCGGACCGGGGCTGCCTCCCCGGCGTCTGGGCTCCGAGCTCCCGGCCGTGAGTTCTGGGCGCTCCGAGCACTTGGCAGAGCCCAGAGCGGCCGGGGGCGGGGAGCGCGAGCCTGTGCGGCCCGAGGCAGGCCGGCCTTCCGAGGCGGCCCCCTGGCGCCCGAGGGGAGTTCTCCCGGAGCTTCTCTCCCGGCCCCAGCCCACCCCTGCCTACGCACACCCACACCCACACACGCTCTCTCACAGCTTGTCGTGTTGTTTAAAACAGGTGGAAGACCTCTGTAATGATATTATGCCTTTCAATAAAAATTTTATGAGGTGTATTTGATTATAGATTAATGTGTCCCTAATAAAACGGACGGATGGAGCAGCTCGAAAGGCCCCCCTCCCCCTACCGCACTCACACACGCCCGCGCAGACACACACCCCCGACGTGAGGCTGAGCACACGCCGAGGCCGGAGGGGTGAGCTGGGGCGGCCTGGCCCTCGGGCTGGGCGCGGCCGGCGGCCACCGCCCGGGCTCTGTCTGCCTTCGGAAGTGTCCGCGAGCTGGCAGTCAGCACCGCGCGGACCGTGGCGGCCAGGGTGCCTTGTCTTCTCCGGGGCTTCTGGAAAGGTCCTGGAAGAGAACACGCCATAGGGCAGAACCCAAATGCTAGCGCAGGCCCGCACCCCGCTGCCGCCCCTACCCTGCCTCAAGAATGGCCGTCGGGGACAGCATTTCCCTGGGCCAGGCCGCTCCCCTTGGTTCTCACTTGGACGCCTCCAAGTGAATTCCAGAGATGTCTAAAAAATGGCCTGGTCCTTGGGCTACTCTCTTACGAATTCTTTTCTTTCTTTCTCTCCCTCCTCCCCACTTTTTCCCCCACCCCCAGTCTCCAAAGTTAAGCCTGGGCAGCCTTGAATCTGAGGGAAATGCCCATTGTCACTCCCAAATCCATGGTACAAAGCCTAGGAAGCGCGGCTGGGAGCCGAGACAAAAAGCAGTCGGGCGCCGGCAGGTGGAGGATATATTCCTCGCTCTACAAGTTGCCCTGCGCACCCTTGGGGGGCTCCCAGCCCACCTTGAGCCCCGGAAAGGAAGGAGGGAAATGGCTACTTATGGTCTGATTGATTGTCTTTGCCAAAGGCTTTCTGATTTTATTCCAGAGGAGCTGCCTCTGCCTGTAGCCCAGATTTTCCTCTGAGACGTGACCCCTTGTCAACAACGAATGGTGCTCCCCACATCGCAGGAGGTAAACTGAGAAGCTAAAATTGCCTTCCTTCTCCTGCCCAACCAATGGAGGTCTGGGCAGATCTATTCCAGTGTTCCCAACCTGGCATTGATGCCATCCATCTTCCACCCTAGGAAATGGCTCCCCTAAAGCGGTCTGTCTTGGACCTGGAAAATCATCTCTGTTTTCAGCAGGAAGTTTAAAACTCTGAATAATTACTGAGTCTCCCAAGGACTCTTGGTCGAGAGTTTTAAGGCTGAGACCCCCTTAAAGAGATTGTCTTTAGGGGAAAAGGGGGGGGGGGCGCGAAAAGGATCTATCGTTTTCATTTGTCCTTTGACAAATCCAAGGATTTGTCAAGGAAGCTGCTTGAGTCTACTGGAAACCTTTTAAAATCACAGCACAACCTGGGGTAACGAATTTTGTGTCAGCTCATCCCCCCAAGGCCTCTCCTCTTCTCCCTGGCAGGACTACCAAAGTCTGGACTCTCGTGGGCTGAGGATCCTGAAATCCATCAGTCAATCTATATATCTATCTATCCATCTATCTATATGCACACTCACACATAGGGAAAAGATAGCTGGAGTTTTCTGTGCCATGGTAACAACTGGAACATTGGACTTCATGAGAAGTCATGTTCATCTGCAAATTCTTTCGGTCACCCTTCATACATTTTCTTGCCTCCCAGATACAATGGCTCCAATCAGCAGTTTGTAATTAAATGGAGGGAGAATTAGCTGGTGGAAACCTTTTCTTCCTTTAAAAATCTTTTTTTTTTTCATGTAGGCCACCAAAAGGTAATGACTGAGCATAAAATCCTTCCACAAGGCAACCAGGGCAAAGTGGGATGAGAAAACTCACTCATCCTTGGCTTCACTGTGGCCTGGCTATCTTGTGCTCGGGATGGGGGTCGGGATAAGAACAGGGGAGCAGAAATGGATCCGATGCAATGCTAAGCTGCTGCTTATCTTTGCTCCTGTAATGGAGGCCCCACGGCTTCCAGGTGGGAAAGACTGATTTCAACCTAGTCCCTGGCGATGGCACACCAGCTAGAAATCACCAAGACTCCACTGAAAGCATTAAAAATAACAGAACCAAAACCAAAGAGAGGAAGACACACAAACGGGGAGCTGCGAGGAAAATGCGGTTTGGACACAGGTTTACTTACCAGGCTCAGGCTAGAGGAAAGTTCACATCCATTGACAAATCAATTATGTTACTATCATGAGGGGAGGGGGAGACAGGACCCTCTTTCTTCCCAACTAGGAAAACAGCAGGCACAGCCTGAATGATCACTCCCCAGCCACTGCCAAATTTCAGCACCAAAGGCCCCCTTCAGCTTTTCTCTCCCATATCACTTCCCCTACTTTCTACCACCCCCGCAACTGCCCCAAACAAGCAGTTTAACAGGAAGATAATCTCACCAAAGTCTTTCATCTCCATCACAACATATTTCCATTTCAGAAAGCAGAGGGAGTGCACTCGTTTCCAGAGTTTATTGCATTATACATGCGACCAGAACATGCACAGAAGGACAGGTTGCTGTTGTACTTCTACCAAACCACAGATGCACCACAAGGGAAAGGCTACAAGGCAAAGTCAATATTCCATCTCACCAAGGACAACTGCTAAACTCATTTGCAAAAAGATACATTGTAATGTGCTTTTTTAGTCCCCCTCCCCCCAAAGCTTGTGGGTTTTAATCTTTTTAAATATATATGTAATTTAAGTACTTTTAAGTACTGGATGTATTCAAAACGCCATGAGCTCATGGACTAACCACACACACAGACCTTTTGTGTTAGGAAAAACATGAAAAAGTCACATTGCTGGATGGACGAGTGGATTGATGGATGCTCTACAGTTCCAATAAGTTAAGAGCCAAATGAAAATGGGCAGTAATAGTTACCCTGCATTACGATGAAAAAAATAATAAATTACACGTGCTAGTTTTTTTAATATATATATATATATATATATATATATATACTCATAGGGATTACAGATCACTTGCAGCACGAACAGAATGACCCCAAAGTCACATTCTAGCAGGAAAAAAAAAAAAATTCAAAAAACAAAGAGCATTGAAGGTTTTGTTTCCGCCTTCCCAGTCCTCCAGCACTCGGCCCTGGAACTCGGCGCCCCTCTCCGATCCTAACCTCTGACGGGCCTCGGACCTAAGAGAAGGTGAGGTTGGCGGTCAGTTCTCGGATCCGGTTCTCTCGGCTCATCTTCTTGAGTTTCATTCGGCGGTTTTGAAACCAAATCTTGACCTGCCTGTCGGTGAGGTTAACGCTCTTACTGATCTCTAGGCGGCGCTCGCGGGTGAGGTACATATTGAACAAGAACTCTTTTTCTAATTCCAGCGTTTGGTGCTTAGTGTAAGGGCACCTCTTCTTTCTGCCACTCTTTGCAGTGAGCCAATTGCTGGTTGGAGTATCAGACTTGATTTCCTCTAACAAAATTAAAGGGAGAAGAAGAAAAAAAATCAAGAATTTTTTTTTTCTTTCAATCTGTTCAAATTTACCCTTGGCCATGACCCCGCTGTCAGCCAGGCCGCTTTGGAAAATGCTTGCATTAAACATTACTCACATGAGGTGGGCCCTGAAAGATATTTGTAAATGATGCCAGGTTAGTTAAAGTACCCAAAATGACACAAATGGGTGGGTATTCTTGCCGTCTGTGTCAGCGTTCTCTCTCTCTTTCTCTCTCTACTTTCTGACCTGCACAAAATATTAGTACAATAGTAAACTTTCAGGATCTCACCAGCAACATTCTAAATGATCATCTCACAACAGGGCTAGAGTGGAAGAAGCAAACCACAGTCTGACAAGCCTACAAATCCCACTGCTGCCTCAGATCCCCAAACCTGCCACTTCTTCCCCACTTCTCCCAGGCAGGCGGGGAGCCCCACAGCCAGGCTTATAGGTACCAATTCTCTTTCAAAGATAACAGAGGAACCGACTACACCTTCTCTGCCCTGCCTGGGCATCGATGTATGCCCCCAAATTTCCTGAATTCTTGTGCTTTCTTGCCCCCACACAAAAGCATTCTCCCAGAAATGAGAAATGTAGCTCCTTGCTGTGGCCCAACTCTGAGCACTGGGGCAGAGGATCAGGGGCAGAAAAGCCAGAGCCCCTGGCTCTTTGCCCTGTCCAGCCCTAAGGCTGGCCCTGCCGGGTGGGCCATGCATATTCCATTCTCCCCCCCGCCCCTTCTGCCTTTGCCCCTTTGCAAAAGGACTGCAAAGCTTTCCCCACTTTCCCCAGACAAAGCCAAGGTTACCTAGCCCCGCAGAGGCAGGGAGCCCTGTTCTCCGGCCCAAGCACCAACTGGTCCAGCCATCTCGTTCCCCGTGCTGTCCCCATGCTCGCAGGATGCGGGGTGCATACACTTGAACACGAACGCGGTACCTTGGACCACCTTAAAATCATCACTGAGTGAAAGGCATGGCTGGGACTGCAAATCTGAGCGGGAGGAAGGAGGTTCTGGGGCCGCGTTTACCAGCCGCAAGTCTCATTTGCGCTCTTTTGTTGCATTTCAGGTCTAGCTCAGGAAAAATAAACCCGGCAAGCCCTTCCTCTGCCCGGGCGCCATCAGCATGGGGCCAGGACTAGCCAGGAGGGTCAGGGAAGCGCGGCAGAAGCGGAAACCATCTCGGGATTAAGACTGCCCCTCTAAAAGATGGGAGGAGAGGCACCTGCCAGTCGGGGCCCCAGGCTGCCGGTTCGGCACTGGGCACCCGGGTGTTCCCTCTCTCTGCCGGTCCCGGGGCTGCGCGCCCCGCTGGGGTGACAACTCTGCTCATACCGACCTTTGCTTTCCTTCTCCTGTACTTCGGGACTGGACACGGAGACCTCTGCCAGGCAGCTCCTCTCTTCCGGAAGGCCGCCCTTGGCTTCAGGGCTCTCCACCTGGGAGACTTTGGTGGGCTCCTGGCCACTCGCTGGCTCGTTCATCTTCTTTTCCATCTGCAGCTGGGCGGCCGAGAGCTGCGGCTTGGCCGCGCCGCGAGGGTTGAGCTGGAGCATGACTGTGGAGCTGCCTTCGGGGCTGTTATTGTACTCTTGGGTTTTCCCGGTGGCGTAGGTCTGACTCAGTCTAAAATATCCAGGGACAGGAACCTCGGGGTTCTCAACGGGACAGGACTCAGGGACCAGCCTCTGGTACGAAGGGACCTCAGCAGAAATGAGTTTGTTGCGCTTATCAGAATACATGCAGCAATTGGATTCTTCCTTAATGTTGGTGGTGAAGGAGCAAGTGGGGACTTGCTGTGTAACAGGTTGCTCTATTCGACAAGATCTGTTCGGGTCTGTCCAACTGTCTACTTGAGGTATATAAGGATGCACATTCATACCCATATTTTGGTGGTTCACTTCTCTTTTGGCCAGAGACGGGAGCAGTCCACAGGTTTGCATTCCATAGGTCCCCATGTCTGCGCTAGGTGGTGGCATGTACATGCTGGCGCTGCTCGAATAAAAACTGTCACTCCTGCAGGCACTGATCAAGGAATCTACTAAAAAAGTATTAGCAGCAGGAGAGCTGTTGGGAAAGGACATTTTGGGGAGGAATTTGAAGAAGAGAGATTGTGTCCTTTGTAGGCTGACATCTCTAGGAAAACATTCCCCGTGTAATTGTGGATGCCTCTGCCGACCACATGACAACCAAGCCAATGAGATTTGAAAATGGCCTTGAGCCGCAGCCTCCTCGCAGGTCACGTGCTCCAGAGCCCGGCCAGCCGGCCGCGTAAGCGCGGACAACAGCGACATCTACTACGCGCCCGCGATAGTGCGCGCTGGAGACAACCGGCGCAGCGCTCTTCGCCGCCCGCCAGCCTCCCGGGGCTCGCTCTGTCCGCCCGACCCACTCGCGTCCCCCACTCCAGCCTCTGGGCCCCGCAGGCGGAAGGAAAGGCTCGGCCCGAGGGGTCTCCGGGAGGACACACGCGGGGAGGGAAGCCCGGGCGCCGTGGCGCCAGCACACAGAAGCATTCCCCGCACACACCCAGGCAGAAGGCGCCCGAGAGGGCCGGGGCCAGGGCGGTGGGTGGGGGCCCAGCCTGGTTCATTTTGTCCCGGACAGCCTGGGAAGGTGAGTTGGACTCCCCAGACTCTGAGACGTCCCACCCCAGGAGTCCACAGGAAAGAGCTCTGGCGCCTTAAACGCGTCCAAGATATCCTGGGGAGTGGAGTCGAGAAGGGCCGCGAGGGCCGAGAGGCCACGCAGCTGACCAGCCCCGCGGAGCCCCGAGGACCGGCCCGGCCCCGGCACTGTCCTCTGCCTCGGCCCGCCAGCCCACCCCAGCTGCCAGCGCCTCTGCACACCGGTGGGCTACTCGAGCCTTCGGCTCTTCGGGGAACCACACCCCGACCTCTGCGGGCTGGGCCGCTGGGAGCTTTCAGCCTGGAGACAGTCCCTCGCCCGCAGCGCGGCTTCCGCGAAAGCGTCCCCCCCGGCTCTCAGCGGAAGAACTAAACCAACTAAACCGAGGTTTCCCTCCCCACACGCCCTGAAAATAGAGGGCAAAGAGGAAGGAAGGAAGAAGAGCGAAAAGAATGTTTTCTAGGAAGGGGAAACTCTCACCCTCAGACTCCAGAAGTTTTAGAAAATTGACTGGGCCAAGCAGGAGAGAGTGATGCAAAGGTGTCATATGGTTCTTCTGCAAAGAAAAATATGTTTTCCTTTTATGGATTTTGTAAAAGCATTGGTTTTTGACAAGTGCAAGGTACAAAAGGTTGTGGAATTTATTAATACATATTAAGAAGAATCAGGGCGATCAATAAAATTCTCATCTACATTCTTGGGCTACTTGGTAATTTTCTTGCTTCTGAAGGTTTTTAAAGAGTTATACCCGCTGTTGCCACACACGGGAAGATATTTTATTAACAAATCAATCGAGACTTTGTAAAGGATAAGATTAATAGTTAAGATTTAGCATAATGGCGTTCGCTTTATGAATTATTGAAAATTATACTATTGATTTTCCCCCCTCGCTACTAACCAAGAAGGTCAATTTTTGTTTTAACACAAATTGTCAAATATTAAAAGCTTATACTTTTGTCAGAAGTTGAGGTTTACAGTTTTGGGCAATTCCTAAAATTATTTGAGAAGGTTCTGTTTGGATAAGGGAAGGGAGGGAAAGAAGGAGGTGGGAGAACCTTAGCCCTGTGTTTCCTTTGGTGAGGGAAAGTTCTATAAAAAGGATTTGGTCTGGGGTTGTGGTCGACCTCATTAAAAGAACAACCACCATCACCACCATGGAAACTCAGAGTTTTATGAGAAACTTCTTCAACAACTTCCTCTCTCGTTCTCTGTTGCAGGCGGTGAGCAGCCCTTCGGAAGCCGCGGCCTCGGGGCAGCAGCAGGGAGCTTTAAACTTGATTTCCAAAGGTTTGCCTTGGGTGAGGGGCCCGGCCAGGGCACTGGAGCCATTCTCAGGCTTCCTGGAGAGGAGAAGGGCCCCGGAAACTCTGATCGTAAACCAGTTCTCTGTCCGGGGAGGCATCCGTATTTTCTTCTCCCCACACTCCTGTCACGGGGGCTGGCCTGGGATTTCAGGCCGAGACTGAACTTGTGGGCAAACTGGGTTTCTGCCTTGCTTTTTTTTTGGGAGCCCGATACTCAGCCTACTGGTGGACGTACTAGCCCGCTCGCTCCTTCACAAAAACCTTTTCCAGCAAACCCTTTGTCCACCCCTCCCCAAAAGGAATCTCCCCTGGCCTGGTGGAAAAAGTCGTTGGACATTATTTTCGGCCTTGGGACCGCTTCGGCTGTCCCCTCACACTGCCCTCGCCCAAACAATAACCCCTTTAAAAAAAAACTCCTCGGTGGCAATGAGACAGACCTTTTAAACCTTTACGCAGCTGTTCAAATACAACATCATTGTCAGGTTAAAAGCCTGGCGCCTCTAACTGCTCCGGCTGCGGGATGCCGGCTAAGGAAGCGGAGGTTTAAACATTACCTTCGGCAGGGGTGGTTGTTTTTAGGCTTGGGGGTGGGGGAGTGAGGAAGGCAGGGAAAAAAACCCAACTTTTGACTCAAGTCTGCTAAGGTCCCGTTCAAAGCTAACAGCCAGGGACTAGCACCCCGAAAATTGCCTTCTCTCAAGGCGGAGATCATGATCTCAGCCACAGCTAAGCGTGCCCAGGGCTGGACAAAGTGCCCACTGCACACGCTCTCGGCAGGCGCCCTGACGCCAGCCTGGCGCTCCGGCACTGTCCTCCCTTGCATGTCGGCCAAGGGAGCCGCCCGGAACTCGGCTGTCCAGTTCTCCTATCCCACGAGAGGCAAGAGTGTTCAATCTAATCGCAAATTTTATGCCCATCAAATGTCCTTTCATAATCTTTATTTATACATGAAGAAAACATCCAAGCTAAAAAACCAGCAATTCCTCACCGAAGGGGTATATCTGCCATTAACCAGGACATCTGCCTCCTGAATTTGGGGAGCCTTTCTGTTTCAGCTCCCTTCGCCTTCAGGCTCAAAGTCACTCCCACGCTGGATTTGGTTTTAAATAGGTCATCTTCACTCACCGGAGGGGGGAAAAATGCGTATCAGATATAATTTTGAATCTATGATCACAAAATTCTATTTATTCTTTTTCAAATTTTTATTTTCAGACCAGTTCCTTGAGGCCAGAAACTGCCAATATTTTGGAGAGATTTTATTATAAAAATCAAGCAAAATAGAAACAATACAAGGAAGAGAATGATCTGAGCTTGGGAGGATGGAAAGTTTGTCTAAGACCCTAAGGCTAAGATAAAGCAAATGGAATGAAAAGACTGGGTTTTCAAGGCCAGGCTTTATTTTGCTTACAAGTATTTAACGTAGCTACATAGCTGCTGTTTTCGATCATCTTTAGATCAGTTGGAGCAGTTACCATTAATAATAAATCAATATTGTACCATAAAGGAGATGAATATCCACAATTGTACCAAGACATCCTTCTCCCTGGCACAGTTCTTTCCAGAGAAAAATTAAAAGGGTCGCTTCAGCAAGAAATTAGCATTTGTAATCAAGAAGTGACTTGCATCTGCGCTTCCTGTCACCAGGAAGAAGGGCAGCGGCCCTGGGCGGACCTGGGGATCCACTGATTTGGGGCCCTGAGTGGCCTCTCATAGATGTGCCACTTTTGGGGGGGCAGAGTGGATGGGCACAAATTTTAAAAGCTGCTTCCTCCAAGCACCCTTCTGGGTTGCACCGTGTACCTCCCAGCCAATGTGAAAAGAACTCAAAAGGGCAACTGGGGAGACCAGGGAAGCCGCCACCAATGCAAAGACGGGTCTAGGGAGACATTGCAAAAGGACCAGCAGCCTAGGAACCTCTTCCCTTTACAGACACAAAAGACTCCTGCTTCTCCCAATCTCCTTTCACTTCAAGCTCTGAGACCTCAGCGACTCAAGATGCTGGGGCCATGCACCATAAGCCCCACATGCCCTGAATGATCCAGAAAGGTCAGGTCTGCAGCCTGGAGAAGTCCTGGTCCAGTTCACCAATTCCCCGGTCTCTTTTAGACTCAACTTGGGCGCTGCCGAGAGGAAAGGGACTACAGATTGCTGAGCACTCGTGGTCTAGGAGAGGCTGCCAGCCAAGGCCAAGGGGCCCTCCAAGGCCACAAGCGCCCCCGCTGGAGCTGGCTAAAGAGGAACACAACGACATTTGGGGAGGAGGACTCTCACCCCACTTGGACTGAGGCCCAGGTTAGGCCCCGGGAAATGTCGATTCACAATAGCTAAGCTGGACCCACAGTCAGACAGGCAGGAGCCAGGGTGCCCGCGGGGAACATCAATGCCTCTGGCTGGCGCCTCCCATGGGGTGGGGAGACTCGTGGCCCCCAGCCTCCACTGAAGCCGATGCCAACTCCCAGGGGTAGACCCAGAGTCTTTTAGTCCAGGGCCGGGAGGGAGGGAGCAAAGACAGCGAAGTTGAGGAGGTTCTCACTGATTCCGGGGTTGCGTGTGCTTTACAACGAACTTCAGCAAAGAAGGAACTGCCACCTTTCATTTTGGAACTTCTCTTTCGGACCTTGGATGGTGGCACAGGCCCTCTGCAATGTCGGGAGCTTTCGGGGTGGGAATAGGGTTGAGGAGGGCATACGGAAAGAAAACTGCTTTCAGGAGCCTGTGCCAAAATCAAAACTCCACGCTCAATGCCAGCAGACGGCTTGGAAAGCTGGCCAGGGGTTCTGTCAAACGCAAAGCCCCGTTTGCTTCAAATGCATACTCCATTCCACGACGCCTTGAAGTATAACGTTCCCCGGGGCTGTCTACCGCTCCCCGCTGCCACACTAGCTCAGTATGGCCGGGAGCCCCAACCCAGTCCTGCCTGCGCCTCCCGGTCACTACCGATAACCCCGAGCGCCAGGCACTACCCGGGGTGGGGGTGGGGGTCCCTGGCGCAGAACGACGCGTCTCATTTTTCCGAGACCACACTCAGCTAAGTTGCCGGCGCCCTGATTTGTCTTAAACAAAAGCCTTTTAATCACCCCAGGCGGTCGGAGAGCGTGCAAGGCGGACGCGGTTTTAGGCAGGGGTGGTCCTATCTTCCTATCGCTCTCCAC